ACAGTAACTCACAAGCTGCAGTAGTAGAGATGGGGTTTCTCCATGTTGGCCAGGTTGGTCTTGAACTCCTGACCTCAGGTGATCTGCCCGCCTCAGCCTCCCAAAGTGCTGGGATTATAGGCATGAGCCACCACACCCGGCCCCACAGTTAATAGTTTCATTCATTATGACTCTGACAAAGTCTTGAGTATTGTCTCTGTGACTCCGTTTTTGCTAGAAGCCCTGTTGTTTTTACTGTTGAATGTTTGGATAGTGCAGCGATTTTTAGGAACACATATGTTGCATTACAGCAGAAACAGGCTGTAGTAAGTGTGCAGGTCTCTTTGCAGAATAGATTCCTCAGTGGAAGGTTTCAGAGCTTTGGGAGTGAATTTTGGAGAGACTGCCTGGTGCTGTGCTATATTTAAATTATGTAATTGGCTAGGTTTTTCCTTTTTCATAAAAGGGTGTGATGGAGCTGAAGGGCATGTGTCAGCAAGGGCATGTGAGAATAATTCTGTACCCTGCAATCTTAAGTTTGTGAGAGTTTCTGGTTGCATGGCGGTCAGTCTTGAAGGAGGCTTTTGCATGGAGGTAGGGCTCCCAGGACAAGGTGAGATGTGGATGCCCCGCCAGATCGGGGTGTGAAGTCAGGACTTCTCTCTTAACTTCCCCAAAGTCATCTGAAACGAAAGGGAGCAGTTATTAGAATAGGAAGTATCTGATGGCGAGGGAAGTCCCATGGGAAACCAAGAAAGGTCCACCAGGTGCCCTCGAGGAAGAATGGCCTGCAGAGGCCGTACCCACCCCAAACACAGAGGCAGCACGGGGTAGGTTGTGCGTAGCCGTCACTGGAGGAAAGGAGGCGGGGTTAATGCTTTCTGTCCTGGAGCTGTAAAGAAAAAGTCAAAAATGAGAGGAAGAAGAAAGTTTAGGAAGTGTATACCCAAGTGTTTGATAGTTTACTGTAAAAAAGTTTTATGTTAAAAGCTTTGGGAACCCTGCCAGTTTATTAGTCTCACCAGTTCATTAAAATAGTTCCTTTTTTTTTTTTTTGAAACGGAGTCTTGCCCTGTTGCCCAGGCTGGAGTGCAGTGGCGCAATCTTGGCTCACTACAACCTCTGCCTCCCGGGTTCAAGCAATTCTCTGCCTCAGCCTCCCAAGTAGCTGGGATTACAGGTGCCCGCCACCACCCCCAGCTAATTTTTGTATTTTTTTTTTTTAGTAGAGACAGGGTTTCACCATCTTGGCCAGGGTGATCTTGAACTCCTGACCTTGTGATCTACCCGCCTCAGCCACCCAAAGTGCTGAGATTACAGGCGTGAGTCACCGTGCCTGGCCTGAGTTTACTATTTCTTTAAAGAGTTCTATTAAAAAACAAAATAACTCAGAAGGGAGTAGGAAGACATATTCCTTCTCTGATCTTAGTTAACTATAAAAAGTCCACTCAAAGCCCTCAATCTCAGCTTACACTACAGTGAAGCCAGGAGGAAGCAAATGGCCTGAAGTCTTAGAATGACGACGGTGGGCTTTACACTTTAATGCTGTTTTCCTACGTTAACTTATAAAAGAAGAAGGAGCTAGTAATATTGAAGAACAGAAGTTACAAAAATAAATTTGGTAAAGCACCTTTGAGTAAATTTGTATGTAAAATCTAAAAGAGGAAGAAAGTCATTTGTTAGATAATGTGACCAGGCAGGTTTGATCTGGAAACTGGTGTTTTAAACTTCATTTTCTTGTCACTAGTGAATCGAAAACCCTGCTCTTATTTTGCAATTGCATAGTTCATTTCTGCGTTTTTCATAAAGATGCTGAAACAGAAGGATGTCTCACACATTGATGAATCTTTTGAAAATAGTTACTCATGTGCTAAGTTCATTAGGGTTTTCTTATTGGCATTTCTGTATTAAAATTTTGTTGTGATGTTAATATTACTATACAATAAGAAGAAATAGAACATGAAACCTTTGATCTTAGCAGGAAATCCAATTTTCCTTTCTTTGGGGTCTCTTGCCCTACTGTATTGTTGGATACATTTTTTCTTCTCTATAATGCTATGATTTGGCAAAGCGGTCTTGCTTTTAGAAAGATGTCTTGTGTTTTGACTTTCAGTTGATTTTTATATGTAGAAAACCTAAAAAGCATTAGATACTAGATTTTTAAATATCTTTATTGAAATAAAGAACTACTGTTTATTCATGACTTCAAAGCTTTAAAATAAAGGCTTGTTAATGCCTATTCACCTTTTTTTTTTTTTTAATTTTTTTTGAGGCGGAGCCTCACTCTGTTGCTCAGGCTGGATTGCCGTGGCGCGATCTCAGCTCCCCACAACCTCTGCCTCCTGGGTTCAAGCGATTCTCCTGCCTCAGCCTCCCAACAACAGGTGTGTGCCACCATGCCTGGCTAATTTTTGTATTTTTAGTAGAGACGGGGTTTCACCATGTTGACCAGGATGGTCTCAATCTCTTGACCTTGTGATCCGCCCGCCTCGGCCTCCCAAAGTGCTGGGATTACAGGCTTGAGCCACCGCGCCCGGCCTTTCCACTCTTTTTAAGTGGAAAGTTGGACGCATAACTTGACTATTAGAAGAGCGTTTTCCTGAGTGGCATGTCCCATGCTGGATGCCCCCTTTATGTTAATTGTCCTGGTGTTCCCGCAGCACCCTGGGAGGCAGGCACTGTCATGAGCCCACCTCACAGGGGAGGGAGGGGACGTTCATGCAGGTTGAGTGGCTTTCCCCAGGGTCCCATGATTCGTGAGGCAGAGACCACATGCCAGCTCATCTCAAGTGCTGCAAGCCAGACTCAGCCACTCCGATTTGCCTGCTGGGTGGAACCAGGACGTGTTTGTCAAGTGGTTAATGGGAAAATAATTATTAAAAAAATGTAATCAGGCCGGGCAGGGTGGCTCATGCCTATAATTCCAGCACTTTGGGAGGCTGAGGCCAGCAGATCACTTAGGGCCAGGAGTTTGAGAACAGCCTGGCCAACATGGTGCAACCTTGTCTCTACTAAAAATACAAACATTAGCAGGGCATGGTGGTGGGCACCTATAGTCCCAGCTACTTGGGAGACCCAGGCAGGAGATTTCCTTGAAGCCCAAAGGCGGAGGTTGCTGCGCCACTGCACTCCAGCCTGGGTGACAGAATGAGACTGTCTGAAAACAAAAAAAGGTCATCATTTCTTTGTCACATAGCTTGCAGTCAGTTCTTAATGTTATCTCACATGAAAACTTCTCACTTGAGTCTTATTTTTAATGAGCTTAGAGCCAGATTTTCTTCCATTCATGAGGCTCGACAGCTCTTTAATTTCCTTGTGATGTGACATTGTTTAGTTCCAGACTGCTCTGCATGTCATAACCAAAGAATTTTTTAAAATTAAGCCAGTAATTTACTTCAAAGATTGTGCATGGAAATATATTCAATTAACATAATATCTTAGCCAGAGTGGGAAACTTTCAAATATAAGAAAAGGGTTTGGCTTACCTCTTGACGGTGTGCTGTCTCTAACCCGTTATGTATACCAGCAGGCCACCCCCTTAAAATTGTTTCAAAAGTCTGTGTTCTTGAGATGATCAGTGATATTTATTTTTTGAGATGGAGTCTCTGTTGCCAGGCTGGAGTGCAGTGGTGTGATCTCGGCTCACTGTAACCACTGCCTCCTGGGTTCAAGTGATTGTCCCGACTGTCTCCCGAGTAGCTGGGACTGCAGGCGTGCGCCACCATGCCCAGCTAATTTTTGTATTTCTAGTAGAGATGGGATTTTGCCATGCTGGCCAGGATGGTCTCGATCTCTTGACCTCATAATCCGCCCACTTCGGCCTCCCAAAGTGCTGGGATTACAGGCATGAGCCATTGCACCTGGCCCACGTGATATTATTTAAAACAAATATCCTTGTAGAAAAATTCCGTTATATGATGAATAGTCATTGAAGGGTAGCCAGAGATTTCATTTAACTTGGCATACTGAGTAAGACGGCATATTCTTTCTAATATACCACAAATTAAGTAGTGGCTTTACTTGGTATTTACTGATGTATGTTTTCATATTATCTGTTCTTAGAATGCAGTATCTCTTTTGCAGTAAAAGATTAATATAGTGTTATTTCAAATACCTGGAAGGTTGTGTTGAATCAGAAACTTAAGTGTTTTAGAGAATTTTTTTTTTAAACTCTCAAGATAGTTTAACCCATCCTCCTAAAATTAGTAATCATGGTTACTTCAGTCTTATCCTCATTTTTATTGTTAAAACGTCTTCTGGGGCCGGGCGCGGTGGCTCAAGCCTGTAATCCCAGCACTTTGGGAGGCCGAGGCGGGTGGATCACGAGGTCAAGAGATCGAGACCATCCCGATCAACATGGTGAAACCCCGTCTCTACTAAAAATACAAAAAATTAGCCGGGCATGGTGGCACGTGCCTGTAATCCCAGCTACTCAGGAGGCTGAGGCAGGAGAATTGCCTGAACCCAGGAGGCAGAGGTTGCGGTGAGCCGAGATCGTGCCATTGCACTCCAGCCTGGGTAACAAGAGTGAAACTCCGCCTCAAAAAAAACAAACAAAAAAAAAAACGTCTTCTGGTTTTGTTACTGTATTCCTAAACATAGGTTGAGTATTCCTGAAATGAAAGTTTGGGAACAGAAGTGTTTCGAATTTCAGATGTTGTTGGATCTTGGAGTATTCAAACATACATAATAAGAGATCCTGACGATGGGACTCTAGTTGTGATATTTATTCATGTTTCACACATACCTTATATACATAGCTTGAAGGTAATTTCATAAAATTTAATTTTGTGCATGAGACAGTCTTGACCGTGACCCGTCACGAGGTCAGGTATGAAATCTTCTCTGCGTAGTGTCATGTCAGCACTCAGAGTTGTGGATTCTGGAGGATTTGGTGATTAGGGGATGTTCAGCCTGTAATGATGATTATTCAGCTTAAACTATTACAAAAGAGTTCTTAATTGTTGGAGCATGTCTGTTTTTATTCCCCTAAGTGACTTTCTCTCCTTTTCTTCCTAAAGCAAATGAAGAAACACCCCTGCCGTCAGTGTGACAAGTCCTTCAGCTCATCGCACAGCCTGTGCCGGCACAACCGGATCAAGCACAAAGGCATCAGGAAAGTGTACGCCTGCTCGTAAGTCCGGGCTTCTAACGGGACGCCCAGTCCAGTGAGAGGCCGCAGGAGGAACTCCGGGAAGGTGTCGAGTGTAGTATCATTAACTGCTGTGCTCCACAGTTCCTAGATTACATTTTGTAATTAGAGCGTTCTGACAGAGAGTTTTTAGATTGGATTCTCACATTTAAATATGAAAATAAAAAGAGGCCGGGCATGGTGGCTCATGCCTGTAATCCCAGCACTTTGGGAGGCTAAGGCAGGTGAATCACTTGAGGTCAGGAGTTCCAGACCAGCCTGGCCAACGTGGTGAAACCCCATCTCTACTAAAAATGCAAAAATTAGCCGGGCGTGGTAGCATGTGCCTGTGGTCCCAGCTACTCGGAAGGCTGAGGTGGAAGAATCACTTGAACCCAGGAGGCAGAGGTTGCGTGAGCCGAGATTGCGCCACTGCACTCCAGCCTAGCTACAGAACAAGACTCTGTCTCAAAAAGGAAAAAGAAAAAAGAAGAGCATTTTTTTACACATTCCACATTATGGGATTTTTTTTTTTTGAAGCAGAGTCTCACTCTGTTCCCCAGGCTGCCGTGCAGTGGTACAATTTTGGCTCACTGGAACCTCTGCCTCCCGGCTTCAAGCGATTCTCCTGCCTCAGCCTCCTGCATAGCTGGGATTACAGCTGTGCACCAACACGCCCAGCTAATTTTTATATGTTTAGGAGAGATGGGATTTCACCATGTTAGCCAGGGTGGTCTTGAACTCCTGACCTCAGGTTATCCACCTGCCTCGACCTCCCAAAGTGCTGGGATTACAGGCGTGAGCTTCTGCACCTGACCTGATCCCTAAGAGTGTGATTGATGGGCAGTGCATGGTCTCTGCACATGTGGAGTTGGCAGCATTGGCAACGTGATTGGGCTGGCTTGTTTACTCAGGGTGGTTACAGATCGCGCCCTCGGCTGCAGTCACCACCGAAGTGTGGCAGCCTGAGATCAAATGCAAACATCAGCCCAGACTGCAGTGGACAGTCATGAGCTGCTACTTCATACATGAAAATCAGAACGTGTTCATCATTAGGGAAAGTCTATCACTCAGCTGGAATGCTCCTGGAGTGGGTTGATAGAAGAAAGCTCGTCTCATGAGAGAGAGAGAAATAAAGGACCCTGAGGATAGAACGCTGAAATATTGCATGGATGTGATGGGAGCAGGCCAGGTGGGCCCTGTGGATCAGGAGAGGCACGAGGGTTGGCAGGCATCTTTGCAGGGGTTTATGATGATGTGGTTAAACCAAGGGAGGCAGACTCACCTTCAGTGAAGTTGAAGCCGCTTAGTGAGACAGCAGTGATGATGAATAAAATCTGTGAGTTGAGACCAGATCAAAAGAATCAGAATTTAGAAGGATGTTCTGGGCCGAGAAGACAAGGGCAGGTCTGGCCTGCATAATGCGTCCCTGGGAGGGTTTGTTTATTTTCCCATGAATTCACTGTAAAGCAGTGAAGTGCTGGGATTGTTCCACTGACTTGGGGCCAGCAAATTCATCCTCATGGAGAGCCCTTGTTCTTTGCGGGTGGTGCTGGCTCCTGCCACTGCCCTGCGGGGGTCTCTAATGTGACGTCATCGGGTTTAGGGCTAGTCAGTATAAATTCCTCAGAAGCCATTTTGAAGGCAGCAGATTTGTACCAGAATGAGACCACCAGAGACTTTTGTCCTCCTTCACTGCAGTAGTATTCTTGATACCTGGTTTTATAGCATCCATAATGACTAGGGTCATTACCCGGTTTTTTTTCCTTTGAGAGACAGAGTTTCGCTCTTGCTGCGCAGGCTGGAGTGCCATGGTGCTATCTCGGCTCACTGCAGCCTCTGCCTCCCGGGTTCAAGTGATCCTCCTGCCTCCCGAGTAGCTGGGATTACGGACGCCCACCACTACGCCTGGCTAATTTTTGTATTGTTAGTAGAGATGAGGTTTCTCCGGTTGGTCGGGCTGGTCTCAAATTCCCGACCTCAGGTCATCTGCCCACCTTGGCCTCCCAAACCGTTGGGATTACAAGCGTGAGCCACCTCACCCAGCCAACTTTTTCCTCCTCTAAACTGTCTTTGGCCTGCTTTATTAAAATAGTTTTTCTTTGAAAAATGAATTTATGGACGGGCGCGGTGGCTCACGCCTGTAATCCCAGCACTTTGGGAGGCCGAGGTGGGTGGATCACGAGGTCAGCAGATCGAGACCATCCTGGTCAACGTGGTGAAACCCCCTCTACTAAAAATACAAAAAATTAGCTGGGCATGGTGGCGCATGCCTATAATCCCAGCTACTCAGGAGGCTGAGGCAGGAGAATTGCCTGAACCCAGGAGGCGGAGGTTGCGGTGAGATCGCGCCATTGCACTCCAGCCTGGGTAACAACAGCGAAACTCCATCTCAAAAAAAAAACAAAGAAAAATGAATTTATATTTTTCAAAATCTGGTTTTGTACAAAATAAAATGAAAACCTATTTTTGATCTGCTTATCATCTAAGTAGACATATACATTCAACTGCCATGAGTATAAACATGCATGCTGCTTCTATGCTTGGAAAAATTGGGGCTGGACACATGTCTATCACAGCAGAGGATAGGAATAATTAACATCAGCATGAAGGAGTCAGGGAGGGACTTTAATACCAACATGTCCAGCATGGTACACGTCCTGAGGGAATACCGGGTCATTGTGAAGAAAACTTTTGAGATGCATTATTTTCCCTTTAGAATTAAAGCTGTCTAGCCTGGTAAATTAAGGAACACTTCAAACAAACCTAGAAGCTGAGTATTCCTTTTGAACCAGATCAGGCTGGTCCTATGAGGACACAGTAACCAACAGAACTTTTTTTTTTTTTTTTTTTTTTTTTGAGACGGAGTTTCGCTCTTGTTACCCAGGCTGGAGTGCAATGCCATGATCTCGGCTCACCGCAACCTCCGCCTCCCAGGTTCAGGCAATTCTCCTGCCTCAGCCTCCTGAGTAGCTGGGATTACAGGCACGCACCACCACGCCCAGCTAATTTTCTGTATTTTTAATAGAGACGGGGTTTCACCATGTTGACCAGGATGGTCTCGATCTCTTGACCTCGTGATCCACCCGCCTCGGCCTCCCAAAGTGCTGGGATTACAGGCGTGAGCCACCGCGCCCGGCCAGAACTTTTTATTAAAGCTGTTAAAAATTTTTTTTTAACAAATTGGAAACCATGAGTACTAGCAAAATCGCCGATTGTGTGTTGAACCATGGTGTGAACTCAGCTCACGGAGCCCGTCTGTGTGAACTGATGGGTACGGAGGACTGTGGCTGTGAGTGAGTTCCTCCACGGAAGCTTGTTTTGTCAGCAGGTGCATTACCTCCTTGCCTTTCGCCCCACAGGCACTGCCCAGACTCCAGACGGACCTTTACCAAACGGCTGATGCTGGAGAAGCACGTCCAGTTGATGCATGGCCTCAAGGACCCTGATCTGAAAGAGATGGCCGACGCCACCAACGAGGAGGAGGTCGAAATCAAAGACGATGTCAAGGTCAAACATGGCAGATGTGTGCTTGACAGTGAATTTGTGTTGACTTGCTTTTCCCATTCATTTTTTTTTCCATTCAAGTTTTGTTGCATAGTTTTTAAAATTCCGACCCCGCATAAGGTAGGAAATAATGGCTAATCTCACCCAGACCCATTCTGACCTCATCATGCCCCTAAAAGGTCATCTTTTTGCGTTTTTTCTCTGTCCTTCCAGAAATAGCTTAAAGGATCTACTTGCAGATTTAAACTGTAAAATCTTTTGTTGACTCAGGCAAATTTTCTCTTAGCCAGAAGGAGTATGTTAAAGCTAGGTTATTTTTCCTTGACAATATATTGGTTGTGGTAGGTATGTGATAAAAACTTATTCCTTAATTTTTATAAGATATAAAATCACAAATTCCTTTTAGTTACATCAGTGAATAGTAGACTTAAATCAGTGAACAGTAAACTTCAATTAGGCAAAAAGCAGTAGTTTAGGATGGGCATGGTGGCTCACGCCTGTAATCCCACCTGCCGCTAGGATTTCAAGACTAACCTGGCCACATGGTCAAACCCTGTCTCTACTAAAAGGACAAAAAAGGGGGATGGGGGGAAAATACAAAAGTAGCTGGGGGTGGTGGCACACACCTGTAATCCTAGCTACTTGGGAGGCTGAGGCAGGAGAATCACTGGAACCCAGGAAGTAGAGGTTGCAGTGAAAGTTCAGCAGATGTTTAAAAAGCCCTCCTGTCTCTTGACAGACGTGGCTAGTATATTTAATTTAAAAAAAAAAAAAAAGTCCTCCTGTCTCTGGTGCTATGCTACGTCTGGAATGTACCCAGGTAAAAGCTTGTGTGTGCTTTCAAGGAGTTAAGCATTGAGTAAAACCTCATCAGAATACAAGTCTGGGCTGGGCGTGGTGGCTCACGCCTGTAATCCAAGCACTTTGGAGGCCAAGGCGGGCGGATCACCTGAGGTCGGGAGTTCAAGACCAGCCTGACCAACATGGTGAAACCCTGTCTTTTTTTTTTTAAAAAAAAAAAAAAAAAAAAAAGAATACAAGTCCGACTGATGCGGCATTAAACTGCAGTACTTCCTTTCCAGTGCTCCTGGAGGTGAGCTAAAGAATGTGTGTGCAAAGGTAGCTTCGGGTCATGGCTATGTGTGAAGGTACACACCAACAGCAGAAAAGCTGGGCCACAGAGTGTGGAGAAAGGGGCACGTTGGCTTGGGGACTGTATTCAAAGTGGGATTTAGAGCACTGGATGGGAAGGATAAAGGCAGGCGCAGTAGGGGAAATGGTGTGAGGGTGACGAGGCAGGAAAGGGTAGTCAAAGGGCGGGGAAAGCTTCCAGCAGCTCTTGTCTTAGGCAACAAACAAAATCCTGACACTGTCCCACAAGGTGCTTCACCATCCAACTCCGTGTCTCTCAGACCCTGGTTCCCGCGGTCTCCCTGAGCACTCCTTCCCAGCCTTTCTGGCCACCCGCCTGTCCCCTACTCACAGCTTCCTATGCCTGGACTGCTTTCCCCACACTGCATCAGGTCTGTGTTCAGAGGTCACCCAGCCATCCCTGACCACACATCACCTAGTAGCCACATACACCGCCATTGCTTCCTGTGGCCTCCACCCCACCCTGCTTGGCTGCCCCGGGTCTGAGGTGCTGCCTATTTTCTAATTTGTTTCTGTTCATCTAAGTCCGATGCTGCAAGTTCCAGGAAGCGTCCACCGGCTGGAGCGATGCCTGGTAACAGCAGCTGTTCGGTTTCTCTCTGGAGTGGAGGAAAGGCAGGGGCCTCGAGTAGGGTGGCAGACACACAGCTGTAAACCCCCAGATCCCAAAACACACAGCACTTTTCCTAGCAGCTCTAAACTACGAGAACCAATCATTTATCAGCCACCGAGAAAGATGGTTTTCAATCGCGTCCTTTGCTTTCTTTCCCTGAAAGGTCCCCAGTCCCAAGCGGAAGTTAGAAGAACCAGTTTTGGAGTTCAGGCCCCCCAGAGGAGCAATCACTCAACCACTGAAAAAGCTGAAAATCAACGTTTTTAAGGTTCACAAGTGTGCCGTGTGTGGCTTCACCACCGAAAACCTGCTGCAGTTCCACGAACACATCCCTCAGCACAAATCGGATGGTTCTTCCTACCAGTGCCGGGAGTGCGGCCTCTGCTACACGTCTCACGTCTCTCTGTCCAGGCACCTCTTCATCGTGCACAAGTTAAAGGAGCCTCAGCCGGTGACCAAGCAGAACGGGGCTGGGGAAGATAACCAACAGGAGAACAAACCCAGCCAGGAGGACGAGTCCCCCGACGGCGCCGTGTCAGACAGAAAGTGCAAAGTGTGCGCAAAAACTTTTGAAACTGAAGCTGCCTTAAATACTCACATGCGGACACACGGCATGGCCTTCATTAAATCCAAAAGAATGAGTTCAGCTGAGAAATAGCCACCGATGCTCCATCAGGGAAAGCCCTGTCCACATTGGAATAAAAGACATTTTTGTTACAAAAAGTTTGCAGTATAATAGAGTTAACAGTACTGTCTAGGCTGTTGCAATATATTCTCTTTCAGCGTACCTTCCTTCACCTCGTCGTATATATCCTCGATAAGTATTAAAACAGTATTTGAGTTTAAAAGAGTTTGTATATATTTAAATGAATAACTTTTTATACTCTTTGTTACATGTTTGTATCAGTATTTAGTGGAAAAATGTTTTGAGTTGTTTTGGGTTAGAATTTTTCTTTTTGTACTATTTCTTTAAAACAGTTCTTAGTAACAGGGGCAGTTCCCGAATTCAAATAAACCATTTTGTATGTTTCAAATTTGAATGGGTTAACTAATTACAGGCTAAACTTAATGCCTTTTTTAGTGTTTTTAATTTTTAGAATTCACTACATAAATTGTTAAGTAATTGTGGGTTTCAAAAACACTAGGAACTTTTAAGTGTCTTAGCGCTTCCTCACGTGCCTGCCCTGAGGGAGTGAGTTCCCGTTCGAGACACCTGCAGGCCAGTGTGGGCGTGGCTGTCTTCAGGCCACGCCCATGAGGGTTTAAAGCAACCTTGCAGGTCGCTCCTTTCCCAGCCTGGATAAAAACTGAAGCCAGGAATCTAATAAGGAATGCTTATTTCCTCAGTTCCATTCTGAGCCATGGGGAAGGCTCTTCTAAAGAAAAAAAAAAAAAGATGGGACTGGTTTTCTGCAAGGCTGGCTTTAAAAGCACAAGGAGGGAAATAACGAAAGGGCTGGACTACTATAAAAGTTACAAATACGTAGTTAGACCAATAGATTTCTATAGTCAGGTTTTTGTCATGTAATTTATTAACTATCACAGAAACACAGCTAAGAATATCAAGTATTTCTCTGGCTCTTGACAGGAAAAAAAAAAAATCAGTTGACTTAACCCTTTGCTGTCAAAAGAGTTGGCGTTTCCTGTTCTGGGTGCTACTGCCAAACGTTCTGGTACTTAGAGTTGGAATGCACAACGTCACCGGCTTCCCCATGCAGCCGCCTGTGTATTCCAATCGGCCGTTACCTTAAGCACTGAGCCACCCAGGTTTAGTTCAGCCATTTCAAGAAGTAATATTTAACGTCAGTAGTTCTGCTTTATTAAAATGCAGCAGAGGTACTCTTCTGTCCCTTCCCATTTATAGTTCTCTGAGAGAGTTCTATTTTTTGTTTTGTGTTTTCTTTTGCATTTTATATCTTGTATTTATCCCTGAATATGTTTTGTACTTTTTTTTTTTAAGAAAAGGAATTCTTTTGTGTATATATAGATACTTGCATGATATACTGTAGTCGACGTTCGGTTCCTCAAAAGGTCTTGCTGCTGTCAGGTGTTATGCACTCCATCCATCATAACTGTAAGAAACACATTTCATATGTAAATAAACATGGGACATTTGGCCCTTGTGCTTCTGTGAGAGAGTTATTGATGGTGGGTCTCTGACATCTTTGTGAAGTTTAGGAAGTGATTAATTGCAGGGACAAGCTACAGGATATTGCAGAATTCTTCCCACTCAGAAGAATGGCATATTCATTCTCATTAGTGATCAGCTATTTTGTCACTTTCTCGTTCATCCATCAGTACATCAGTATAATCCGAGGATGTGAATTTCAGCTTGAAATTCCATTGCTGTTACTTGTTATGTTTGTATTGCTCTAAGTTGTATTCACAGCACTTTCATCTGTTTCTGCATTTGAACCTTGCAATAAGCCTGTGTGGTAGGCCACATAGGTCTGATAACTAGTTTTACAGTTGAGGAAGCTGAGCTCAGATTCAGTTCTCTGCCGAAGCCCTCATAGCTGGTAAGTGGCTTTGCATATTAGAACCCAAATATTTTGCTCCTTAAATCTAATGCTCGCTCTATGTGGTTATGTACATATTGACAAATACTCATTTATTCGACAAATAAAAAGTATGTACAAAACATGATACAGAATTTTTGTTTTTGGCACTATGGCTTCATAACCTGAAAGTCTTTCTACGCTTAACTGCCCAGAGATGCTTGATAATATAAAAATTAACAGCTGTTAAATGCATTGCTGAGAGTACAAGAAAGTTTTTAAAAATGCCCAGAGGTAAATGAAGAAACTAAAGTCTGGATCCTAGAAAACACCATGCTCTAACCCTTGGGAGAAACCTGGATTGTCCAGCTGAAGAGGGAATTGGTAAACTGGAAGATAGCCCTTCAGAAAATTAGCCTCAGCACAGAGATAAAGTGATGTTTCCAATATGAAAGAGGTTAGGAATCAAGAAGGGCAAGATGAGAAGATCCAGCTTCCGTTTAATGGAGGTCCCAGAAAGGGACTAGAGAGAACTGGGAAGGTCAGTGTCGAAAATCTTAGCCATTCATGAAAGACATTCATACTTGGGTCAACAGTGCCTGCTCAACAAAAATCTATGCTGGTACATAAATTTTGCCCATGCGTTAGTTGTAGATGATGCTGGGTGACGGCATTTAAGGAGGAGGATAACATGAGGTAGGCTCAATTCTTCGGAAGTCCATGTACTCTTGAGTGCAGAACTAAGAGCTGAGTCTGGAAGAATAGCACTTTTGGATGACGAGGTGGGTGGATCACCTGAGGTCAGGAGTTCGCCATCCGTCTGGCCAACATGGTAAAACCCTGTCTCTCTAAAAATACAAAAAATTAGCTGGACGTGGTGGTAGGCACTTGTAATCCCAGCTACTCAGGAGGCTGAGGCAGGAGAATCACTTGGACCCGGGAGGTGGAGGTTGCAGTGAGCAGAGATCATGCCCTTGCACTCCAGCCTGGGCAACAAGAGTGAAACTCTGTCTCAAAAGGAAAAAACAAAACTCTTGAGTGACAGAATGGAGGGGTTTGTACTGATAGAGATAATGATTTGGACACAGGAGTGACGGGACCCATTGACTGGTCTCAGTGTTTAGGACAGGAGTCTGTCCATCAGGATAGATCAGCTTATGCTGTGGTTACAACCTTAAGTCTAAATAGCATATCACAGACAGTTTTTGTTCACGTTCAGTGTCCACTGTGGGTTGGCTGGAAGCGTGGCTCCGTGTCTCCTCATCCCATTACCCCACTATCAAAAAGTTGCCAGTTGTCATGGTAGAGGGAAATACTGTGGCCCAGAAGTGACAGATGCCACTTCTCACAACTCTCTGGCCATAAACCAGTCACATGGAGCCACCTAGTCACAAGGAGGCTGGGAAGTGCAATCCACCCATGTGCCCAGGAGGCTGAAAATATTTGGCCATCACAGGAATAATGTTTAAATTGGCGTAGCTATGGCGCTAACACAATAGGAACACTTGACCTAGGCTAGTGGGAGTAGGCTTAAAAAGAGGCTTCAGTTGTAAGAAGCATTTTAGAAACGTTTCTAGAAACTGTTTCTGAGAAGGTTTCTTCATGTGGAATACAGAGAAAAGTCTGATTTGAAAGTTCAAGCTTACGTGACTCCTTAAATTTTTTCTCAAGATTTAGGTAACTTAAAAATACGGAAGTAAGCTGGGCATGGTGGCTCACACCTATAATCCCAGCACTTTGAGAGGCCAAGGCAGTCAGATCACCTGAGATCAGGAGTTTGAGACCCAGACCCCAACATGGTGAAATCCTGTCTCTCCTGAAAACACAAGTGAGCCAGGCGTACTGGCACCCACCTGTAGTCCCAGCTACTCGGGAGGCTGAGGCAGGAGAATCGCTTAAATCCAGGAAGTAGAGGTTGCAGTGGGCTGAGACGGTGCCACTGCACTCCAGCCTGAGTGATAGAGCAAGACTATCTCAAAAAATATATATTTATATGTCTGGGTGCGGTAGGTAGCTCATGCCTGTAATTCCAACACTTTGAGAGGCTGAGGTGGGTGGATCACGAGGTCAGGAGTTTGAGACCACCTGAACAACATGGTGAAACACCATCTCTACTAAAAATACAAAAAGTAACCAGGTATGGTGGTGCACACCTGTAATCCCAGCTACTCAGGAGGCTGAGGCAGGAGATTCACTTGAACCTGGGAGGTGGAGTTTGCAGTGAGCTGAGATCGTGCCACTGCACTCCAGCCTGGTTGACAGAGTGAGACTCCATGACAAAAAAAAAAAAAAAAAAAAAAAACAAAAACCGGGCGCGGTGGCTCAAGCCTGTAATCCCAGCACTTTGGGAAGCCGAGGCGGGTGGATCACGTGGTCAAGAGATCCAGACCATCCTGGTCAACATGGTGAAACCCCGTCTCTACTAAAAATACAAAAAATTAGCTGGGCATGGTGGTGCGTGCCTGTAATCCCAGCTACTCGGGAGGCTGAGGCAGGAGAATTGCCTGAACCCAGGAGGCAGAGGTTGTGGTGAGCCGAGATCGCGCCATTGCACTCCAGCCTGGGTAACAAGAGCGAAACTCCGTCTCAAAAAAAAAAAAAAAAAAATTAATTAATTAAAAAATATATATATATCATCTTGAGTTTCAGCTATTCATTCAAAATATGCTTTTGTTTTTATGTGTTTGGGTAATTTATAACTAACAAATGTATAAGGAAGAATGCCAGCAAAACGATACTTGCAAAATGAGAAAAAGGAAAATGTAGGCTTACACTACATGGCAAAGACCACTTCTTCCTCCCAAACACATTTTCTGCAAATTCCTTACTCCTACCATAGCAAGTAGTCCAAAGAACAGCTGTTCTACCCTGAAGCTCACCAATGTCAGCAGGCTAGTGAGTTTCCATCCTAGGATCTTTGACCAATAGTGAAATTTCCTCTTGAAACGTTTGGGAAGCTGAGAAATTTATAAAATATGACATGTAGGAATGCTTCATCTATCCCAAAGGATAGTCTAAAAATAAAAGGTAATGTGTCAAATGTAGGATGCTATTTATGCCATTTAGTTTACACACACACACATATACACACACACACACGTGCTTTGCAAATCTCAGATGCTGTAAGGATTCCAGATTGTAGCTCTTAATTTTGATATACAGCTTCTAAATCAGGCGTCCCCAGACTTTTTACACAGGGGGCCAGTTCCCTGTCCCTCAGACCATTGGAGGGCTGCCACATACTGTGATCCTCTCACTGATCACCAATGAAAGAGGTGCCCCTTCCTGAAGTGCGGCGGGGGGCCGGATAAATGGCCTCAGGGGACTGCATGTGTCCCCTCGGGACGCAGTTTGGGGACGCCTGTTCTAAATATAAGGAACCTGGCTTTAGTTACCTTAAAAACTTGGTTCCTACTCAGGAGGTGTAATTCACTCTGCTTAAATGGATCCTTGAAACTTCTTGTTTTGACAATTTTTTTTTTCAGTTATGAATCTCACATCCTTACTGAGTTAATTGTAAGCCTTTGGGATATGACGTTGTGAATGTCCTTCTTTATAAAGATCATGGTAACCACAAAACAATCTACAGTAGATGCACAGACCATAAATAGGACTATTCATAGCAACCCACTCCAGCAAACCATCAAACCACGAAGGAAGACAGCAAGTCAGGGAGAAACAAAATATATGCCAACAACCAGAAAACAAATCATGAAATGGCAGTAATAAGTTCTCTCCTATCAGTAGTTACTTTGAATGTAAATGGGTTAAATTTTCCAATAAGAGGATAGAGTGGCTAAATGGTAAAATAGAAGACCCAAGTACCCAACTGTATGCTGCCTACAAGAGACTCAGCTCTGTCTTAAGGATACACATAGACTGAGTGAACGGATGAGAAGAGATACTGTATGCAAATGGAACCAAGAGAGCAGAGGGTAGCTATACCTACACCAGACAAAGCAACTTTAAGTCAAAAGCAATAAAAGAGACAAAGGACATTATGAAAACAATGAAAGGGTCAATTCATCAAGGGGATGTAACAATTATAGGAGTACCCAATACTGAATGCCACACCTAAATAAAGCAAGTTTTAATAGATCTGAAGGGAGATATCAACTATAATACAATAATAGTAGGGGACATCAACACCCCACTTGCGACAATGGATGACCATCCAGACGGAAGATTAATAAGGAAACATTGGACTTGAACTACACTTTATGACCTCACAGAAACAGACAGAACATCCCATCCAACAGCAAAAGAATACACATTTTTCTCAAGTACACACAGAACGTTCTCCAGGATGGATCGTATGTTAGGCCACCATACAAATCTAAACACATTTCCGGGAATCAAAATTACATCACATATCTTTTCTGACCACAAGTCACAGGAGAAATCTTGGAAAATTCACAAATATGTAGAAGTTAAACAACTTGCATCAAAGAAGAAATAAAAAAAATTAAAAAATCTTGAGACACACAGAAATAGAAACAACATACCAAAACCTATGGGATGCAGCAGAAACGGGTTTTTTAGGGTGGTTTTTTTTTTGTTTTTTTTTGTTTTTTGTTTTTTTTTGAGACAGAGTCTTGCTCTGTCATCAGGCACCAGGCTGGAGTGCAGTGGCATGATCTCGGCTCACTGCAACCTCCACCTCCCAGGTTCAAGCAATGCTCCTGCCTTAGCCTCCCAAGTAGCTGGGACTACAGGCGCGTGCCACCATGCTCAGCTGATTTTTGTATTTTTTAGTAAAGACGGAGTTTCACCATGTTGGCCAGGATGGTCTCATGATCCGCCGGCCTCGGCCTCCCAAAGTGCTGGGATTACAGGTGTGAGCCCCCATGCCTGGCCCAGAAGCAGTTCTAAGAGGGAAATTTATAGCAATAAATGCTTGTATTTCTGCAAAGTGTCTTTCTTCATGCTACTAGAAGTTTCTGGAGTACCTATTGTCATTCTCTAGTCACTGTTACCCCCTAACAACTCATTCTGAACAGTCCAGCCTCAGTTCACATGGTTTGAGTATGAGGCTGAATTTGAGACTTGGCTACTCTCAGTCTTTTCAGAGGATTTTCTTTTCATGTTCATTTTTTCTATACAGTCCCAGTGGATTTTGGTAAACGTTTTAGTAAAGATTCG